ATCAATGTGTTCAATCATCGGTGTATTCAACTATTTTTGATATTATTTCGCTTTGAAGCACGGTTTTTTGTTTTTTTGGAATATTCCTCATGAGGCTTACCACATAATTGGCAAAATTAATGTCTTGAGGATCATTAACTTCTTGAGGCTGTTCATATACTTGAGGTAGAATTGGCCTTGATGCTTGCATCTCTTTAAGGATGGCTTCCTGAAAGGATATATTATCATCTTTCTTCCCTTTTAAAATAGACATGAAATAACAAAGTAGTTTGGTATATGATTATTGTAAATATTAATTAAATATCAAATTACTTTTATATGGTATTGGTTCTATATCTGGAGTATCTGAATCTGCAGCTAATGAAAAGTTACTCGAGGTTCTAAGGAATAATACAACTTTGTTTTAATTGAACAATTTTTTTTTTGGTTTAACTGTAGTTAATTGAAAAATAAACCTAAATTCCATAGGAAAATTATAAAAAATAACCCAATTCTACGATAGGCATGTTTATTTTATTATCGAATCAATTATACGCCATAATATTTAAGATATTAAAAAATAAAATAGAGGAGGCCAGTTCGGGGCCACTAAATTTTATTAGGAGGCAAGGCCACTTAAGGCCCCTCACTCGGTGACGTGCCTAGGATACTTTGGTATACTACAAATAGTCGGTACTTGAAAAATAGTTCAGTATACCAAATATGTGAACCTAATGGGAAAAATGTATATTAAAATTTAGTATAATATTTACTTTTTATTTTTTGTGGTGACATCATCTAAAAACTGCAAAGATTGCATATGCACCCAACTTCTTTTTCTTTCACCACCACTGCCACTTTTCGGTTTCTTATTTTCCCTCGTATATTTTTCCCTTAGATATCGCCATTTTTTTTTCAAAATTTCAATTGAATATACTCCTGTTAATATATTTTATAACTTACCAAACGAGCAAATATGATTTTTGTCGTTCATTTTAATATTTTGCTTGCAACCCTTGCAGAGCATTCCCTAAAATCAGACATTTATTATATAGTTTTTAACAGATTAAACATAAATAACTATATTAACTTACTATAACTTTGCCGGGCTCCATAGTGACAATAAACTTTGTCACTTTAGTACGGTTCGAACTTACTAGTACTTAGAACTTGTATAATAGAAAGATCAAAGAATATTTTAAATTTATTTTATATTTTTAAATCTATGATTTCTGCTATCACCTCTAGTAAACCGTTCGAACGGAAAAAGTTGAACTAGATCCAACTTCATGGTAACATGGTATACCGTGTGGTAAACACGGGTAAACATTTTGGTAAACCAAAAGAATACCGTAGTAACCGTCCAATCACAGAGCAGAATGATAATTACACGTACACGTGAACGATCCAGTGGAAACCCACCTTAATACTAATATTTAAAGCCGTGCTGGCGTGCTATGGTGTGAACCCCCCTGAACGTTTGTAAACAGTTGTGATCACGACTTATCACAAGTTACCACTTTTTAACCTTTTCAACCACGACGTTCTTCAATGGTACCCATCGAGGTATATAAACAATAGAATAGAATTTCCTCTTGGACTATAAATTGGTGTACGTAACATAAGATATAACCTAACCTAACCAGGGCCGGCCGTAGGTCTTTTGCCGCTCTAGGCAAATCTAATTTACGCTGCCCTATATGCAATGGTAAATTTTTTTGAGCGGAGGGGGTTGAATAAAATATGGACATTTATTTTTAACTATAAACACTTGTTTTGTTTTTAAAAAAAAATGTTTTGGCTGGCCTCAGTTTCTTTACAAAATATAAAATAATAATAATAAAATTAATATAAATGTTGGGAATGAAATAAAACAAGTAATATTTTTGACCATCGTCACTCATTCAGTATCATTTTCATAGATCAACAATATGTATTTAATTAAACATTAAAAAATATGTAACTACACAATTAAAAATATATTAAATGAAATTAATTTTGCGAGCGTTTTCTTGGGCAAAATCAGTCGGTACATTTTTAAACTCCAGGTTTTCCATTACTTCTTTTCAATAGGAATTGTAGCAAGATCACTTAACCTTTCTTGATTCATAGAAGACCTCAAATAGTTTTTAATTATTTTTAATATGGAAAAGTTCCGTTCACCAGATGCAACCGACACAAGCATAGTTAAAATAATGTGAAGTGCTACAGCTACATTTGGTTACGTTCTCGGTAAACGAAGTATCAATAGTATATTATTATTAGTTATTACACATTTATTTTTGTATATTTTGAACAATAAACATACAATTCAGCATACTACATTATATTATAATAATTAAATCACTTTGGTTCATTCGAAATTTGCCGTCCCCACACTAGTGCCGCCCTAGGCGGCTGCCTATTTTGCTACCACATTGAGTCGGCCCTGAACCTAACATTTCAGTATATAATAAATGAATCCTTAATATAAATGTACATAAAAACCAGGAGCTGACTGGCCCACTGTGCTGCAGTGCAAAGGCACAGTGACCCGATGCCTTCTTATGTCCCCACTCCCCGAGGTTTTGTAAAAAAATAATCCACCTGCCATGGGCGTGTGCACGAGTGCAGCGAATGCAGATTTCAATGTACAGGAAATTTATTTTGGATTTAGTGATCTCGTAGATATTTATTTGAAAGTTCAAAGGAATACACAAAATAAATAATTGATTTTTAAATATTTTATGTAATTCAAATAAATAAAATGAAAATGCTATTTAACGGTACACGAAGTCTAAAAATAGAAGCGTTTTACATTGACGGAGAAATGAAACCCCTCAATAAGTTATCCTAAAAAAGTAACTCAATGGAACCATGGCCGAATAAACAATGTTGAAAAATCGTATATGACTGCGCTATCTATCTAGGAAACTGAAGAGCCGTGACGGCCAGTTTCTTACGTACGTATTACGGGTTAGTATAACACGGCGGCAGTAGATGGCGCTGCTTACGTACGTATTAGGGGTTAGTATAATACCGCGGCAGTAGATGGCGCTGCTGTTATCGAATTAATTTGGTTCTTACTTCTTAATAATAATACCGGCCAACGCCGTTAGCAGCGTTAGGTTAGATTAAACCTCACGAAACCCAACTAAACCTCACGAAACCCATCTAAACCTCACTTAACATCTCATCTTTCAAAAAACAGAAAAGCCGTGAGTCGTGACGGCCAGTTTCTTACGTACGTAATATGGGTTAGTATAATACGGCGGCAGTAGATGGCGCTGCTTACGTACGTATACTTGGTTATTATAATACGGCGGCAGTAGATGGCGCTGCTGTTATCGAATAAGTTTATATCAAAATAATAATACCGGCCAACGCCTTTACCAGCGTTAGGTTAGATTAAACCTCACGAAACCCATCTAAACCTCACTTAGCATCTCATCTTTCAGGAAACTGAAGAGCCGTGACGGCTAACTTCTTACGTACGTTTTAGGGGTTAGTATAATACGGCGGCAGTAGATGGCGCTGCTGTTACCGAATTAGCTTAGATCTAAATAATAATACCGGCCAACGCCTTTACCAGCGTTAGGGTAGATTAAACCTCACGAAACCCATCTAAACCTCACGAAACTTATCTAAACCTCACGAAACCCATCTAATTCTCACTAAAAATCACTTCTTTCAGGAAACTGAAGAGCCGTGACGGCTAGTTTCTTACGTACGTTTTAGGGGTTAGTATAATACGGCGGCAGTAGATGGCGCTGCTGTTGTCGAATTAGTTTAGATCTAAATAATAATACCGGCCAACGCCGTTAGTAGCGTTAGGGTAGATTAAACCACACTAAACCCAACTAATAAACCTCATAAAACCTCACTAAACCTCACAAACCCTCACTAAACCCAACTAAATAACCCGTGGCGTGGGTATAGTTGGATCGCAGCTCGTGACTTTACAGTCGCTAAATATAAGTATAATGTATCCACTACCCACGGACTAAGATCGTATGGACTGGTATCGACTACCTTATCAGTGGCCCTCAAATGTTTCTAAAGCCGCCGTATCTTAGTCCGTGTTAAAAGCTATAATCTTACATTATAGACAATATAGAACACAAACATTGATATTGACCGATAACTGATTCTGCTATAAATAAATGAATATGGCTATGTCGCCAATTAAATTAATATAACACCATAATAATAATATGTGGAACGTGGTATTATCATATTTTCATAATTTTATCAGAAAATAATATTATTTTTGTGTGTACGGACTACGAATAACCAATTGCCAATAATTGTTCATTAGCGCACAATCAGTTATGCACTATTACAATATTGCATGTATAGCCCTCTACGCCATATTACACTTTTTTAATATTTATTAATTGGGTTCGTATTATTCGTATCGTGTTCGCTATTGTCTGCTTGACGTTCCTACAGATTGTAAATAATTGTATTGCATCAGGTTGCAGATTTAGAAGAACCAATTTACCCTGGCCAAATTATCAAAAATGTTTTAAAGTATTAAGAGTCATTGAGGATAATTTTTTTACAAGAAGCTGAAAGTGGAGTGCTCAAGTTGTGTCGATACAAAGTGTTACAAGGTGGATTCACGTTCAAACTCTAATATAAGAAAACATTTAAGCGTAAGTACAATGTTAATTTCATACCTGCCTATGACAGTTGACCCATCTAATATCTTGTATGTTAAATTAATTTTAAATACCACACAAATACCTTTTTTTTT